CCTGGTTAAATCTGGTACTTGTGAACCTATGAAATACTCTTCAATAATGCCTGTTGAAGCATTTTGTTCCTTGTTTTCAGGTATGGACAATAATGAACAATTATCCATAAACGACTTGAGACTTAAGACCATTTGTCTGATGGCGCTAACACTGATGTTGAGACCGTCTGATATTGCTCCCAAGGGGATGCTGTTTGACCCCATTCACATTCTGAAACACCTATGGTTTTATCTACAAGTGACATTGTGTTTTCAGATGAGGGCACAGCCAAGATAAAGTTGCATGGAATAAAAAATGACATTAGTAAAGCAGGTTTTACCGTTGAACTTCAGAGACACTCAGATACTAAGTTGGAGACTGGTATTCAGTCGGATGGTTTAGGTGGTCGTGACTTTTCTGCAAAATCCTATCGGACAACAGGTGCAACACATGCAATAGAGAAGGGTGCTGATCCTAAGACTTTTCAAACAATTGGATGATGGAAGAGTTCTGAGGTGTTCTACAGTACAACAAGAAATTATGGAGAATTTAAGATTGTAATTTTTAATTTTTTTTTCACTCATTACTCACGTATTAAATGTGAATATAAGCAGAACATAACTCCAGATTCCAAGACAGGTGAACAGTTAGTATTTTGTCAAGTCACCATGGGCAGCAATGCAGACTTCAATGCGGCGGGGCATACTACTGATCAAATCGTGGTCCATGCTGTCCCAATATCGGACCACCTCTTCTTTCATTTCAGCAATATTTGTCAGATTTTTCTTATTGACACTTTCCTTCATAAGTCTCCAAAAAACATTTTCTATTGGAATTGGGTCAGGGCTATAGCTTTGCCAATCTAATAATGTCATATTTCTGGTCGGAAACCAGGCCTGTGAATGCTTCGAACGATGTTTTCGGTCGTTGTCCTGCTGGAAAATACAAAATGTCCATAGAACACGTTAGCAGATGGACGTAAATGTCCCTCGAGAATATCTGTGTACCGCTCACTGTTCATATTTCCTTCAATAACACAGAAGGGCGTTGTCCCTAACATAGATATGCCACCCAATACGTTAAATTTCGACTGTACTTTGGGCTCTGATACAAAGGTTTTTCAGTTTGTTTGGTCGAGAATTTCAGTGTATTAGGAAACAGCCACATGGAACTTTCATCTGAGAAAATCGCATTGTCCCAGTTAAAATTTATATGCTGTAAGCACCAGTTCAACCTTCGCCCTTTGTTCAGGTTTCATGATCGGTGATGGTATTCCTCGACGTTTTCTGCCAACCCATTGCATGCAGCTCAGTTCTAATTGCCTCCTTACAGACAGCCACTGTTCCTCTATCAAGCATACCCAGCCTTAAGTTTTCTAAACTCCTTCGTTTGTATTTAGAAACAAGAATACCAAGCCGCCTCCTGTCACCGACAGATAATTTTCTGGGCCTACCTGCGCCTCCCTGGTGCTCAATGCCATATCCATTTGCAATATTTCAAAAACACGATAAACAGTGGACAAAGGGAAGCATGTTCTACTTGAGATCACTTTAGCTGATCTGATGTCCTTGCTATAATACTCTAAAATCAACTTCCTCTTCTCTAAATCATCCATACTGAGGATCACTGAAAATGTCGTCTGCTAGCAAGTAAACAAAGGGAGATAACTCTTCACAAACTAATGAAAAAGGATTAACGGAGTTGTCTCTTATGAATGAAACCAAGCACTTGATAGCTGGTCAAGGTTGTTTATACTAGAAATCCAATTAAACATATTCCTAAAATTCTCAATAATTTCTGGTCATGCTATAATTCCACAGCATATCTGCCCAGTGTATTCTCGTGAATTCAGGACAATTACGTCCATACTAAGGTACCACAGGGTGTGGTCACTGATGTTTTATCATAGTTTACCCTCTAATGTTTTGGGAGGAATATGTTAGTGTTAAACATGGTTAATGTTATACAGATTAAAATGTTGAGATTATCAGCGTTGTGTATACCTTGAGTCATGTTTAAACGTGCTCATGATTTGACTACCTTCATGTTATTGTGAATCACTATGCTATATTTTATGTGAGCTTCACAGGAGTAGGTTACTTGTTATCTCCCCTTGGCCATCATGAGCATTTAAGCCTTGCGAGGTATATTTCTGTGTTTTTTATTACAAGCTTTTCCAGTGTATTTTATTTTATTCTTTGCACTCAGTAGTTGGGCATTTCATGTATTAAAATTTATGTTAAAATTGTATCACTAGTTGTGTTGCTTCACAATGACAGATATGTGTTAAAATAGTTGTCATGTGAAGCGTCAACGTGCTCTGTTCACTCTTTTTCTAGATTGTTATTATATTGCATTGTGCATGTTGTATATTAATATTATAAGGATGTATAGGAGACAACTATGCTGCGTGTAATATTGCAGGGATGGGCATTTCGTGTAATAAAATTTATGTTAAAATTTTATCACTAGTTGTGTTGCTTCACAATGACAGATATTTGTAAAAAATACTGACCAAAGCGGCATTAAAACAAACCATTGACTCACGTGTCCAACAATTGTAGGTGCATTATAGTCTGTTTGCCTCAAAAAGCGGACCGATGAATCGCAATCTAGTTTGCTATGCAAGGTTTTATTTTATGACATAAAGTCTACGAAAACTCACAGAGTTAGTCTGATGTTTAGATTATTATCAGTGTTTCATTGGGTATTATATATTTGTTAGTTTTCGAGATAGATTGCAATTCATCGGTCCGCTTTTGAACCAAACGGACTATAGTCTAAGTGATACCAGGAAGTAAATCCTATTGTAGATCGTGTGTTAAAGCAAACATTAACACGGACCAGGAAGTGTGTGCAACGGCGTAACACTTAATGTGGAAAACCCTGATAGTTGAGCGTGATTTCCTCTGCATTATCTGAACAAATATAACAAGGAAGTTATGTCACCTGCACTAAGTCATTATGTTATCAGTAGGCCGTTGTAATATATTATGACGCAAGCATTGGATAGTTAGCTAGCGATAAAGTTGCATGTTGAGTGATAGACGACTCCTTTCAACATGTGAGCTGTTAGTCTGTCTCACTTTTCCTACACAGAAGCACTTTTTTTACCTTCCACCAGCAAAATGCAAAATTTATATGAATCAAGTCTACATTTCCTCAATTTTAGGAATCTATGAGTTCAGTGCGACACTTTTTAATTTAAATGGAGTAATTTATTTGTATCGGAATTACATATATATTACTAACTAAGCATTAGTCCAGTGAACTGTTGATGTTTGTGTTAGTGTGACTTGTAATATACCTTGCCTTGTGTTGCTCTTTGTTTTACTGCGTGTTGTTCAAATCTGAAATATTCCAGTATTAACGGGTGTTCTTCTGCTTTGGAATATGTTGTTGCTTCTTTGTTTCAAAAATAGAAGTTGCGGCTGCTGCGTTGTGATCTATATATTTTCTGTCAGATGATGCAGATTACGTTGTGAGAACAGGTAAGACAGGAACGACCAGAAGACAAGTGTCAAGATGCTAAAACGTGTTTTGAAGTTGTGGATACTGCCCCATTTGTTTATGTTTGTTTTTTTGTAAACTCAGCAATCGCTCAGCTGTTTGCCGACAGGCTATACATCATAGACTCTCGACTAGAGAATCGGTGATTGATATCATCAGCATCGATCTATGTTGCACTGAGCAGATAATCAAGATTGCTGTATTCGTTAAATACAGAACAAACACTGGAAATAGTTTAGAACTATTTTACTATGTGAAAAAGTCCTTATCGACGCACAACAGTATATATACATACAGCTAGTTTCTGGAAAACCACTACCAGTGCAGATGTGATAATTGAATAGGGGACATTCGTTTATGAAATGTATATCACCCGGGTGTACCCCATTTTGTCACAAAGCATATACTTCCAAGAGGAGCAGCAAAACGGAGAAAAGAAGCTCGTCGTGTGATAATATCACTTCTTATAGATATGTATACTTCTCACACAAATTAAAGCAACACAAATTTTAATCTCATTACATGTAATTTATTGAAATTGCAAATCATGGAATGATGCAAGCGAAAGGTGAAACATATGTACACAGGATTAACAAAATGAAATGGTATTGAGCAATAATAGACTTACACATTATCAAAGGCATGTACCCGTGAAACAGTCGTGCAAAATGTGCTGCATTGATGGATCAAAACGTAACATTGAGGTTCACGTCAGTTTTGGACAGTGAAGCAGTGTTCAGTAACGCGTATGACTACCATGAGCACAAATGCAAGCTTCTACACGTCTTTGCATTGACCAAATGAGCCTTTAAAGTTGCTGTTGTGGAATGTTCTGCCATTCTCTCTGTAACGCCTGCTGAAGGTCATCCAGAGTCTGGGGCGAACATGGAGACCGTAAACAAGACTTCCAATAATGTCCCAAGCATGTTCAATGAGATTAAGATCAAGTGGCCTTACAGGCCAGTCCATATGTGTGATGTTGATCTAAACAACATCGTTAACAACTCTTTCTCAGGCATTATCATCCATGGATGGGCATTATCATCCATAAAAATAAAGTGAGGACCCGCTTGTTGTGCCAGAGGAATGATTACAGGCATGTTTCCACCGATCAGGGTGCATGTGTGAAGAGTGGAGCACAGTCATGCCACACATTTTGCATGTTGTTTCTGAGGGTGGTTTTGTATTCTTTGAATATTTACCTTTCAGTAACATGTCGGCAAAAGTCGCTGTCGAGATTGATAAAGATATTACACTGAAAATACTTGTTGCTTAATTTTTGGTGATAATAATATTACACTGAATATACTTGTTGCTTACATCTTTTCTGAGGAGTATATTTTAAGCTCTACGCCCATGGTATTCTGCGATCCATGAGGCAAAAGCGTTACAATGTACAGATACATGATAGGCAGAATTGCAAAGGCATCAAGTATATAATTTGGTCTTGGTCTCGGGAAAATATTGCCCCTATTGAATACGACGTTGTTGAAGCATTAATAAACATAAATCATTTTGCATGTATTTTTTACTTTGAATAATGTGAATAAAGAATTCTGGTAGGTAACACAATACATTTTCACAACGTTGTGGGAAGGTTGTAGATTGGTAAGATCATGACACAACGTTGTCACTACCACGTTAGTATTACGTCGTTTTATAAAGTTATGTCACAGCGTAATAACATCGTTGCAAATTTACCTTGAGGAAACATTATACTTTGGTCTCCTCACAACGTTATAATAACGTTTCTTATAATGTGGTGCCATGGAGTTTCTGTAAAACGTTTCAATTTGAGCTTCAGAAAACAACTTCCAAATTGACGAATAAACATTGAAGTGAATTTCTGCTTTGTTTCTTATGTACTGTTCGCTACTGGGAAAGCTATTGAACCATTAACGTCATGCAGAACGTTTTAATGGACAACGTCAAATAAACTAGCATCCAATACCTCAATACACTTTATCACAACGTCAGACCACAGCGTTGTGGCAACGTAAATTGGAGTATACAGAATAACGTTGTAACAACGAAAGCAGAACATTGTGACAGCGTGAAATCGTTCACTGGGTTGTTGAGGGCATCCTGACAATAGCGTGGAGCACGAGCACCGATATTCATTAAGCATGTCTCAGAAGACTTATTTCATGGAACATCATTCAGCATCTGAAACAAAATATTGACTGAGGCATTATTGCTGAATGTCATCACATAATGCATCATGCGGTTTCAGAGAAAGTTGGTTATATATGCCATCAGGAGTTGGTGTCAGAGTTGACTGCTGGGCATACGGTCAGTTCTACACTATTTCTTTCACTCAAATACCAAAACGATCATACCTGTTTTGCTCCTGAGATTCCGTTTGCCTTTCTGTGGTTTGGCGTACATATCTTCAATATTCTCACTTGTTCCTTCTCTGCTCTTCACCTTATTCACTTTGGCATACACATCTTCAAAGATAATATGACACTTATTAATACCTCAATATTCTTCCTCCTAACAATACGAATGACTTGTTGTCCTATTTACTATATGGCTGAATAATAGGGTCATGTAGTTGTGTAGACACAATACTGGAACATTTATTGATGGATGGGTATATTTACTCCAGAAAAAATAGATATCATCCACGTCAATCCATGACCATATCTGGGATGATCTCGGGTTCTGTGACTATAGAACTGAACTTTGATAACATGGCTACTTCTGTCTAACTACATGATGACTATGACAGTTCCTTCCTGATGATGTATGAAATCAATCAATCAAACACGATCAACATTACGTTATAACGTTTCAGATAAACACGTTTGCGATAGAACTAGCCTGGCTAGATGTAATGTTTTTTTGCTCAGCCATTTGTCCATTCAAGGAAGCATACTCGTGCTTTCGTCACTCTCATGCGTATTTACAGAGTTTTCGTCCGATCTGCTTTACAAACCAAAAATACATATCTGTATTGGATTCTTCCTCATCTCCTTTGTCTTGGCCAGTGCAGATCCGGGCTAGAACCGGTCTTCGGCAAACCATGCGACTACGTTATCAGGTGGTCAGACTGGCTGACTCGGTTGACACATGCCATCGTATCCCAGTTATGTAGAGAAATGCTCATGCTGTTGATCACTCGACTCTCTCTTCCAGACACCATTATTTACAGACTGGCGCCAGACATGTGTTTGGTTTCTTTTACACGTTCAGCCATTTGACTGTTAAGCTGATAGTTGATGAAAGCATGTGTCATACTCCTACACTTTTAAAGATTTCTCTTCGAACTACCAACAGCATCTGTCACACTTACCTCCATTTGGTGTTTCCTGCCGTCCTTTGTGCGGTTTTGCGTACACATCAGTAACTTCATGTTGGTCTGCATTCGTCTTCACCTTCTTCACCTGGGTGTAGACATCTGACAACAGCAGCAATATCTACCTGATGCAGTGTCATTCATGCAGAGGAGCTCACAGTGAGTTTGGTAGTTGTTCCTTGGCAATGCACTTTAGTGAAGTAAGGTCTCATAGGCAAATTACACCCGCGCGCGCACGAACACACACACATGAATATAAACTTATACACATTCGTACGTGTTGGATCTTGTATAAGTAGATTGTGTGCGCTAAAACTGATGCCTTTGATAACACTTTTAAATCGTGAAGACTATTGGATCTTGTAAATTGTTGAGAAATTCATGCAGTTATGTGAAATTTCATTTGACGTTAATCTAATATTCCAAACACGATAGGATCACACCATAGTTAGCATTCTCACTCCTATATCAGACAAGTGACTCCAACTGGAATCCACAGAAATGGCGTAATTGTTACCTTTCCCAACATGATTCTGATCCTCAATACTGTTATCAGCTGGTTCTATATCCGATGAACCGGTGTACAAAATATTGTCCTGCATGACTGAAATATGAAAGTAGTGAATAAATTTATATGTATCCGCATCCTTTAATCACCACCCCCTAGTCAACAATTAACGGAGTATACTACTGCTTAGAAGCCTAGACATTATTGGAACCTCGAAACAAAGGGGATATTAAGCTAAGCAGTTATGTATGACAGGAACAATGACCGTTCCATATGCAAATTGAAACATTTCATGTGTTGAATTTACAAGGGAAACGCTCTGTTATCTACAAATAATATGTTTGTGATAAACTTTTGAGACAGAAGTTCCAATCAGGAAGACAAGCGCATGTAAAGGGGTATTAGAAGCACATATTCAGTTACATTTTCGTTACCTTTATCGGCTTGATCGTGATTATGTATACTGTATTCAGCCGGCACTACGTCAGACGAACTGGTGTATATTATGTTGTCCATCATGACTGAAATATGCATCAAATAAAATGTCCCAAGATTTATTCACATGTAAAATAGAATAAAATTTTACCGCTATTACAGATATGGAGGTTTTGTAAATGCCACACTTGATAATACGTTTTGAATATGTTGATGTGTATGAAGTTAATAATGCATCTACAATATTTCACTGCTACATAAATGTCTCCATCATTTAGGACAAAGGTTCAGTAACTTGCCTTTTTCGTCCCATTCAGTTACTCCACTTTCAATCAGCATCTCAGCACTAAAATCAACAGCCAAAATAGCATTAAAATGGTCTCGTGACAGGAAAATACACTAATGGCCATAATACCAAAAATATGCATGCCATAATCAACATCTGTAAACATAAATCATGTTAAATACCTTCTTTACCATGAATGAGGCAACACTGCCATGAAGTGATGTTCCCTTTATTTATTTCCTCAATATATATAGCCTCAACTATTCTGTTGCAGTCACATCTGCTATTTGAATGTGGCTCTAATTCACAGTGGAAATCTTCATTCATGAATGTTACAGGCACAGACGCACCTTCTGGAAGGGTTTCTATCCCGTCGACTTTTATCCCTGACATCTTCTGGAAGAAGAATACAAATATTAGTTGGTGGCTGACTGACTCGTGATTTGTTTTAACGATAATTCAGATGTAACTGCTTGTCAGCTCCATGTGGGAGGACAACCTTTCAACGATGATACAGTTAGATAACACTTCATCATGAATGATTGAAATTGGCCTCACAGCGTCATGAGTTGTTATAACTCGGACATTATCCCAAGCATTACCTTCAAGAGAGCGACGTCTTTTTCTGATACAAATAGCTGCGACGATGACAACAGCGATGACAGCAACACCTCCTCCAGCTGCTCCAGCGGCGATGGCAATGGTGTTGGACTCACCAGCTGTGTAAACAGGCGTCGTTATTGGGTTTCCTTTGCGTTGTTGTTGGTGGTGGTTGATATTGTAGTAGGATGGCCTGGACGTATGAAAGACTGGGTGATAACGTTTCATGGTACTATTGACTTATTGATATTATACCTGTGGTAAGGTATATTTGACACCAAGCAGTAAGCTGGGCACATTTAGGTCCCAAGTGCCCAAATTGTCTGTTCCCACGGCTTTCACAACTTTCTTACGGGAAGTGTTCTCTGATTAAAAGTGGGTATTACACCAGTGTGCGCCAACGTTTACAGTATTATTCAGAAAGACTGAGTATATGAATGAAGGAATGAATAAACAACTGATCTTTGTAGTTATTGCCGCGGTGTTGTTTACATGTATTAATATATTTACGTTGGCGCAACGACTTTGACAGATTATCTTTCAATACTTGTGTGTACAGTTCCGTGTCCTTCCAAAACTTTAAAACATAATTCTGGGGTTGTGTCTTTCACTTGCTAAAGCTTGAACGAGGAACTATAGTGTACACACGTTGATAAAGCTTGAACGAGGAACTATAGTGTACACACGTTGATAAAGCTTGAACGAGGAACTATAGTGTACACACGTTGCTAAAGCTTGAACGATGAACTATAGTGTACACACGTTTATGAAGCTTGAACGAGGAACTATAGTGTACACACGTTCATGAAGCTTGAACGAGGAACTATAGTGTACACACGTTGATAAAGCTTGAACGAGGAACTATAGTGTGCACACGTTGCTAAAGCTTGAACGAGGAACTATAGTGTACACACGTTTATGAAGCTTGAACGAGGAACTATAGTGTACACACGTTGCTAAAGCTTGAACGAGGAACTATAGTGTACACACGTTTATGAAGCTTGAACGAGGAACTATAGTGTACACACGTTGCTAAAGCTTGAACGAGGAACTATAGTGTACACACGTTGCTAAAGCTTGAACGAGGAACTATAGTGTACACACGTTGCTAAAGCTTGAACGAGGAACTATAGTGTACACACGTTGATAAAGCTTGAACGAGGAACTATAGTGTACATACGTTGATAAAGCTTGAACGAGGAACTATAGTGTACACACGTTGATAAAGCTTCGGAACGAGGAACTATAGTGTACACACGTTCATGAAGCTTGAACGAGGAACTATAGTGTACACACGTTGATAAAGCTTGAACGAGGAACCATAGTGTGCACACGTTGCTAAAGCTTGAACGAGGAACCATAGTGTACACACGTTTATGAAGCTTGAACGAGGAACTATAGTGTACACACGTTGCTAAAGCTTGAACGAGGAACCATAGTGTACACGTTTATGAAGCTTGAACGAGGAACTATAGTGTACACACGTTGCCAAAGCTTGAACGAGGAACTATAGTGTACAATATCAAAAGCTTGAACGAGGAACTATAGTAATAATACGTTTGCTAAAGCTTGAACGAGGAACTATAGGTTAATACGTTGATAAAGCGAACGAGAACTATAGTGTAAACACGTTGATAAAGCAAACGAGGAGGAACTATAGTGTACACACGTTGAAAAGAGAACTATAGTGTACACACGTTGATAAAGCTTGAACGAGGAATTATAGTGTACACACGTTGATAAAGTTGAACGAGAACTATAGGTAATATCGTTGTGAACGAACGAAAACTATAGGTAATATCGCCGATAGAACGAGGAACTAGTAGTGTAAACACGTTGATAAAGCTTGAACGAGGAACACTATAGTTCCTCGTTCAAGCTTTGCAACGTGTGTACACTATAGTTCCTCGTTCGAGCTTTATCAACGTGTGTACACTATAGTTCCTCGTTCAAGCTTTAGCAACGTGTGTACACTATAGTTCCTCGTTCAAGCTTTGCAACGTGTGTACACTATAGTTTCTCGTTCAAGTTTTAGCAACGTGTGTACACTATAGTTCCTCGTTCAAGCTTTAACAACGTGTGTACACTATAGTTCCTCGTTCAAGCTTTAGCTACGTGTGTACACTATAGTTCCTCGTTCAAGCTTTATCAACGTGTTTACATTATAGTTCCTCGTTCAAGCTTTATCAACGTGTGTACACTATAGTTCCTCGTTCAAGTTTAGCAATGTAAGCATGAAATTTCCTCGTTCGTTTTATTTACACGTGTTACACTATAGTTCCTCGTTCAAGCTTTATCAACGTAAGATTATAGTTCCTCGTTCAAGCTTTAACGTGTGTACACTATAGTTCCTCGTTGCTAAAGCTTGAACGAGGAACTATAGTGTACACACGTTGATAAAGCTCGAACGAGGAACTATAGTGTACACACGTTGCTAAAGCTCGAACGAGGAACTATAGTGTACACACGTTGATAAAGCTTGAACGAGGAACTATAGTGTACACACGTTAACACTTATTGCAACTTTTCTTAAAGGAACATTTTGGCGTCACAATTCATATAATGCATAGTCTATTTCTTTGTATAATACGTAGTCTGTTCCATGCCGTTCTATATACGATCTATATCTTGCCTCGTGAAGGCTAAACATACTTTTTGGACCGTTTTGTCTCAACTCGTGAAAATATGCTTTTCAGACTTCTCTCGATGGGATGTATATTATATTGTCTAACACAAGTAACAAATGACATAATGTTAACTGAAATATTGCCTTCGTCTATAGAAATATGTTCCCATCTTAGTAATTGTAGTGTTAAGGGATTTACTACGTTATCAGGTGATGTGTGTCAGGTAATTACACCTTGTTGGGGATTTAACGGTGAAGATTGTTTGTGTAAATACCTGCTGACTCACCAGCAGTGTAGCCAGGCGTTGTTGTTGGGTTTCCTTTGGTGTTGTTGTTGTTGGTGGTTGATATTGTAGCAGGATGTTTCGACATTGGGGAAGTAGGCGTCTCTGACACATTAACATCTGAAGCAGCATTAATGTCCGTTTTATCACATTATTGTTACTAATCTCAGCCACAACCGTTGTCTGTCACAAGGGACATGGACTCATTAGGAGATAATCATACTCTGTTCTAAAAAACCGTATATAACGAAATTATAATAGCTCTAAATTTGATTTAAAGCCTTAGCGCGTAGCATGTATATTTCCATTCTACCATAACTGCGTTATAAAAATGTTAACAAATTACATACTGTGTTGGAAAATCAGTGGTATATAACGTAAGTATATACCTCAGAGTGACTTTATTAACCAATCACAATCCAGTAGTTTCAGAAATCATGCTAGAATTGGTACTACATACTTCTGCAACTTCCATGCATGTTGTAGGTACATGGTGACCTAACATTCCAACTGAGACCAGATAAAAATGTTGGATTTATATAACAAATGGTCACGTCAAAAACATGCTCGAAAACTTGTCAACAATGAATTACACTGACGACTTTGTCCTCTCTTTGTGCATTTTATAACAAAAATGAACAGGCAATGAAAACAAACTATTGAACACTGTAGCAATTGTTACTGCGAAATGTCTTTCTTTGTATGTACAATTGATTGTCATTACATTTCTGAATTAAAAGAAAAGGAGCAAAAAGTGCTAAATGTTCAAAGGCTTTTGTATACAGAAATGTTATCACTTTAAATCTTGTACCTATAAACATACTTGACAGCTTTATTGAAGTTAGATTAACAAAATACTGGGACAATTGTATGTGTATATATTAATGGCATACCAGATGGATTTAGCAACACCGAAAGGAGAGACGTCCCGTGCATTCAGTGTAGAGATAGGTTATCTATAGATTTACGAGGGGCGATCAAAAAGTATATAGAATCACCAAGAAAACGATACAAATGCAGTTATTTTTATGTTTTATTTTTCTACATATTATCTGTCAAGCTCAAGCAAAGTTGGTTTGTTATGTTCCAGTCTCACGATCCCCATTTTCTTTGACCTTTCCTCTTAGTACCCTCCAAAACGGAAAATCTAAATAATAATAATAATAAGAGTACTTTTATAGCGCCTCATCCACATCACCCAGGGACATGCTCTAAGCGCATCAAATAAAAAATCTAAAATCTTCAATAAATGCATCAAAAACTTCAGGAAACAAAATATGCAAGAAATATTTTATGTGTTTGAGATTGATAGAAGTCCCCTATAATCACACTTCATGAAAAAGCAATTTGAAATTACAATCACTTGTTAAAGTGACTCCCCCCTCCATGTTGACTGAAAGAGCTTGTTTCGGAGACGCTACCCACCCCCACCTCTCATTTCAGATGACGTAATCATAAGGGCAGGGCTGATTCTAATGTTTTCACGTATGCATATATGATGTCAAGGGTTCAAACTAAATACTGAATGGTCACACAAGTGTCAGCTCACAATATATTGTAAACAGTGTCAGCTTGAATATCTGGAAACAATCTTTTGAAAGATTAAAATGGGGGTGACCCTTAAAAAGTAGCCCCCGACTAAATGTAAATGACGCAATCCAAATCTTTGACTGTTGATCATGACTGGAAGTCATCCAATACTATACTAAACATATTTTATATGACATTATCTGAGGGCAAACCATTATCCAAGAGGTACCAAAAGACAAATCGTCTTTCATTTTCTGCAATTTTGTTAGAAATATTCTACCCTAATGTGTTGTGATGACGAATACCTGGTTAACCACATTACTCACACATGTGACATTTGGATATGGCTTTGCTAACGATTCCTTCAAAATAAAATAGAAGCTTTTCAAACACTGGACATCGAGAATGTAGTTAGGCTACGTACTTTTTGATCGACTCTCCTGACTTCAATAAATTGAATTTTGAACGTAGCGTTTGGCTTTTAATGCGAGGAGCATTCATTTCAGACAAAATGTCCTTGCATTGATGAAGTGGTGTTGCCATTGTAGAACACAATATTGACATACGACTCGCAGGTGTTAAATTTATACCCGGCCTGACACACTAGATTTAACATAAGGATAATTATATCTACTGGATTGTGATTTCACTTTGTTGCGTATCACATGAGCGAGTTAAGATTAAGTCATATCGGTAATATTTCAATATACATTAACATACATCAGCTATAATAGAAAGAGTGGACAAAGGGCAGTAAGATCACAGACATAGTTTAATATTAATATCTAACGTTTAAATTTGGCTTGTGCTATATCTACATTATAAAAATGAACTATGGGTCAGCAGCTACCAAAGACGGAACACCACACGTATCACTACAGTTTATCTGTTGGTCGCTTTCATAAACACTCATCTATTACCTGTTGATCCGGTTATATCTGTGGCTGTCGGTGTTGTGACTGAAGCCGAATGAGTTGTTGCGGTTACTGTTGATTGGGGCACTGTAACATCTGCAACATGTTGTTGTCTTATTGCATCAACACTTCCATTTCAAAGACAAGGGATATAATTACCGATTTTGCTTTTTCTATGTGTTCTCGATGTAGACTTTTGCATAGCATTTGAATATGAAAGGCATTTATGAAAATACATTTATCACATAATTCACAATTCATAAATAATGATAAGGAAATTGCCATCACGCCATATGAAAATACCAACATTTGCAGATGTTAATTACTAGTGACTCATGCCATGATGCTGGTGAACTATTTGTACTAATAGTCATTCACCTATTCAAATAAGCGAGCCAATTACGGAACTTTGTGGGGGATAACTGAAAATCAGTAAAAACAAATGATGGTTAACGGTGCCTCACATATCGCCATCGTATTGCTCGTCTGAGTGTGGACAGTATCCACACACTGCCACCTGGATCCATTGTCTACGGCTGAGTTGATCCTGAGAGTCACATTGTGTTGTGTGGCATCACAGCTCACATTGACACGACCTGACAGATATCTGTTGAAGACGTCAGGGTTGCCTCCACTGGGACTGGTGGAACCTTGTGTTGTGTAGAAGACTAATGTACCATCTCTGTTCCACTGTCTGGCTTGTCCCGTAGTTGTGTTACTGCTGCAGATCAGGGTGAACAGTTCCCCGTCTGTCACTGTCATGGGGGAACTTGTCAGGACTAAAGAACCTGATAACATATACAAACGGAACAACTTCACAATTAAACTCCTGTCATGTAAGTTTCTACATAGATTTCCACACTTTGTAGAGGAATATATATATACAACGTCATACTAGTGTATTTGGATGTTTTGTATACAACGAGAATATGTCATGGGAGCAGAAAACAACTCTAGTTGTTTCTCTGTTCCCATGACATCTTAGAATCTTCGAATACGGAATTTGACCACGTCATACGTATTGCATCCTTGTATTACTATCCTTGGTTTACATGGGTATATAATAAAAATATCTTCTCAATCATAAACAATAACTAGTTGTTGGTAACTAATGATAGATATATAGATAGATAGATTACAGACAGATAGATAGAGCTGTGTGTGTAATGATTGAGATACGAATGATTTTATACATTCTTCCAGTTTAGAGAACCTAACAGAAACTGCCACATAGAAGACAGATAACAACTTCGTCTACTTTATCGAAACTAACTGAGGCCAACATCAGTTCAAAATTTCCTTAACCCAAGATACAACTGAAGATCTAACATGAGATCAACCAAGCTATAACCCCGACAAAGCGGTTCAACTAAATGCAATTTATACAACGATATACTTCAGCATAGCACACATCGCTTTATAATTGATCTGAAGACTGCAACCTCTAGTAAGTGGATGGTGAACGTTCATGGAAAGAATTGGTACAAATAATTTGAAATTTGTATGTATTTCCAACAAAATGACATGAGGGCAAAAAAGACTAGGAACCGCCCGGTCAAGTAAATAGAACGTCTCCCGGGAAATGCAAGGCTAGTTGTTCCATCCTCCGCCATATCAATCCAGAGAAAAACATACGAAAATGCTCTAATAGCAAAAGACTGTGTAAGCGCACTGTGAAGTAAAGGGCGACTAACAACTTAAATAAGATAAATGGCTGTTCTTGTTTGTTTGTATTGTTGTTGTTCAGCTGTGTTTCAGCGATTTCAGCGGGGCGGTGGGGTAGCCTAGTGGTTAAAGCGTTCGCTCATCACGCCGACTACCCGGGTTCGATTCCCAACATGGGTACAATGTGTGAAGCCCATTTCTGGTGTCCCCCCGCCATGATATTGCTGGAATATTGCAAAATGCGGCGTAAAACTAAACTCACTCACTCACTCACTCACTCAGCGATTTCAGCCTCGGTGAAAGGTAGCGTACACACAGTTTGGGAAAAGGGAGAAATATCGGGTAATCGCATTTAAATACATGCATAAATAATAACAGAAATGATTCGGGGAACAATTTGCGTTTGGCCAATATTTTTTTCTGTTTTTTTTTAAAGTTATAACCGAACCATCTAGTTCAATATTTGTTCAATATATCAGCATGATTGGGATGCTTCCAAGAGAGAAAGAACAATAAATCCTTTCACAACTCACCTAACCTTTGATGAACGAAGGATGATTTGACTACCCGTGACTCGAAACACACCTTGCATTAGAGCATTTGACCTTTACACATGTAATAGGTTTTGGTTGAGAAAAAGCTGTTTAAGATTTTCTATCTTTTGTGTGTGTTTAAATGTTTCTAGTTTTCACAATTTCAAATTGTGCCCCGAGAAAACTGTCCAGTATTTCCGACTATATACAAGTACACATACTTTTCCGAAAATCGGATCCAATTTGAATAACATCATTCGGTATAAAAACACCACCCAATTCCTAAGGAGATGGTTTGCGTCGACATGAGACATCGTTATATTCCTGGGAAAGAACATTCTGGACTGTAGTCACAAGTAGAGCTTCTGTACAAATTTTTGTACGAAAATTATCGTGATGTAATCATACTTTTAGACAGGAGACGTCAGCAGTGACGTGTTACACAAATACCCACCTGCCTGGTGTGAGCGGCCGCCGAGTAACAGAAACAGGAGTAGATATATCCGATACATGGCTGTATACTAGCTGTTGACGAATATCACATGAAAACACTCTCCTCTTGCGTATCAATCTACCCTTGCAGCTCCGGTAATCCGGGGCCACTTTTTCTCACACTTCACCCATCACACGTATCACATGTACAGACTCCTGTACATCGCAAATCTCTCCCGTGGAACAAGGTAAACCAGGTTGTGTACAAGTCGCAATAACTCCACACAGTGACCGTCCAGGTAGTTGGGAGTCCCTTGTAACACCAGGGTCGCTTATCAGCATCAGGATATGTGTATCAGCCTACCAGCAACGTGATACAACCCAAGCGTTTTGTCTGAAACCAGGAAGTTGTTGTGTACAGCTTTAACCCGAGTCACGAGCAGTTGAAGGCCATACAGGTATAGGTATCGCTGCTCACACTTCATGCAAGTTTACACACCTGTAATTGCATCTGATTAAGTGATAAGGATATGTTTGCCGTGCATGTAACCCAAGTCATACAAATCTACTTGAACCTTAGCGTGTATCGTCAATGTCAACTCTGTTCTAACATGATTTACATGTGTCAATAACATACAGTAGTGATGTGACTTTCAGACTTGTCAACATTCAGAAATCGCTTGGGATGATGGCGTACACGGTGACATATCCTTTGACAATCGTGGATGAGAATCTGTTAGATGTTACTCTAAATTACTCAGTGACGCTAGTGGTGTAGGTAGGTGGATACGTGCGTGAATTTGAGAATTACTGCTACTGTTAAACACTGCTACCTACATATACTGCTACATACCCCTCCACAACCTCCACCCGTGCTGTAGAAGATTGGCACTGGGGCATGTGTTCCGTAGCTGACTTGATCACGAACGGTATGGGTTAACACTCGACAGTATAATTGTAAATAATCGAGTCTGGACAAGACAATCAGGTGATCAACATCATGAGCATTGATCTACGTAATTGAGATACGATCACGTGTTAACCGAGTCAACGTGCCTGACCACCCGAACTCGTTATTTGCCTCATACGACAAGCATGGGTTGCTGAAGAACAATTCTAACCCGGATGTTCACGGGTGTGGTTGTAGGAAGATATAATATCAAATGACAACGTCAGTCACGATTTGTCCCGCAACACAAGAGTGATCGATATTATTTGCGTGGGTGACTGGAAATCAGTTACGTGATCTTGTCCACCAACGCCTGTCACTCACGCGATGAAAGTAAGTGATTGTTGCCAACGCCGATGGGGAAATTACTTCAACGAACAACAATGTTGGAATCCGTAGATCGAAACATGCTGTCGAAGGTTAACCCATACTGGGTGTGTGTGTAATTATAATACCCAAGAGTGTTGTATCTATTTGCATTGGGTGGCAAGCTGACATTCCGTGCAAATGAGTACCCGGACCTTTAACATAGAGACACAGACATCTCACCACATTCTGACAAGCGGAATATATGTTGTTTCAGCCCTAGCTGAACAAGTCCAGCCAGTATTATCGTTATCATGGCATTTTATACAAATCTTTTTTTGGGGGTGTTGTATTGGGTTTGGCATGCAGTTTCTTAAACGTGTTCTACATTGTCAAACGGTATTTTTTAAACTGACACAACTTGTCTACGATACACTATTATGTGGACACCCGGTGTTATATACAAATTCTGCAAGGGAAAACGTATGCGTAACGTATGTGTACAGTTAGGGGGCATGGAGAGACGATCTCAACACATTAATACCACATAAATTGCTCGTTCAGAGGTGATACAAAATCACATATTTGCAGGTCACCGATCGCTGCAAATAGTTTTAGTTGGTGATTTTCTAGTTCGAGTTATCCTGTTACAGACCATCGTGAAATACAATTTAGTGGACAAGTGGTGATATGCAGTTTAAAAGGGTATTCGACGTTCTCCTATTACCTAGTGATTGATACAACGAACAACGCACTCAATGCGTGACTGATATAACGAAAAACACAACACGTGATTGATATAACGAACAACGCAACACGTGAATGAAATAATGAACAACGCAACATGTGGTTGATATAACGAACAACACAACACGATACTGATATAACGAACAACACAACACGTGATTGATATAACGAACAACGCAACACGTGATTTATATAACGAACAACGCATTACGTGGTTGATATAACGAACAACGCACTACGTGATTGATATAACGAACAACACAACACGTGATTGATATAACGAACAACGCAACACGTGGTTGATATAACGAACAACGCAACACGTGGTTGACATAACGAACAACGCAATACGTGATTGATATAACGAACAACGCAACACGTGAATGAAATAATGAACAACGCAACACGTGGTTGATATAACGAACAACACAACACGATACTGATATAACGAACAACACAACACGTGATTGATATAACGAACAACGCAACACGTGATTTATATAACGAACAACGCAACACGTGGTTGATATAACTAACAACACAACACGATACTGATATAACGAACAACACAACACGTGATTGATATAACGAACAACGCAACACGTGATTTATATAACGAACATCACAACACGTGTTTGATATAACGAACACCACAACAAGTGATTGATTATTGAACAATGCAACAAGGGATTGATGTAGTGGACAACGCAACAAGCGATTGATATAACGAACAACACAACACGTGATTTATATATCGAACAACGCAACACGTTGTTGATATAACGAACAACACAACAAGTGATTGAATAGTGGACAACGCAACACGTGATTGATATAACGAACAACGCAACAAGTGATTGATATCACGAACAACGCAACACGTGAATGAAATAATGATCAACACAACACCTGGTTGATATAACGAACAACGCAACACGTGATTGATATAACGAACAATGCAAGACGTGATTGATATAACGAGCAACGCAAGACGTGATTGATATAACGAACAACGGAACATGTGATTGAAATAACGAACAACGCAACAAGTGATTGATATAACGAACAACGCAACAAGTGCTTAATATAATGAACAACGCAACACGTGGTTGATATAATGAACAACGTATTCAATATGTGTGTTGCCGTGAAGTGTAATCTAATTAACAGCGTGTTAAAGAGTGGGCTCAGACCTACTGTGTGCCTGTTGAGATCACGATAATCACGAATACTGCAAGCTCTAGGTGCGTGAGGAATGGAGGTGTTATCGACTTGTTGAGTGAATGCGCATGTCCATATTATGAACATATACCAGTACATTAAGTGTTTTGAAAAGGGAATTCACATTAGTACACATCCTTAAGCTGAATCAACACTTATACACGGATGAAAGTATACACAGTGGGGTATCTCCAGAGCCTATTTCAATGTGAATTGTGTGATTTGATTTGATGGGTGTTATTTTACATCGGGCTCCTAAACAGTTGTACATTTGCATTTGAAAACCAATTCCTGATTGAAACAATCATTAGGCAATGGGTACAGTACCATACACTATCGAAAGCAGAGATACATGATATCATGTCAAGTCTGTCTTGGGAACAACAGATTCACAAATAAATCCTCCATGTTCTGTGTACCTGTCAGACGTGCTTGCTGTGGTCTATATATAACTGCAGCATGTCTCTCGGCGTTACGCAGTACTTTCCTCGACGCTTGAGCGGTGAACAAACCACTTCATATCCCTTTAAACAAGTCTGTCCTCTGACGATTTTAGAAAAGGTCGTAAACCATTTGACTGAACAAAGGATTTCAGCATATAAGTTATTTATCAGTCCTGTGTGATCAATATTTCAAAAGTAGGGTCGAAGCGGTAGCCAAATGGTTAAAGCGATGTCTTGTTACGCCAAAGAACCAGGTTTGTAACCCTGTGTGGGGTACAATGGGCTAAGAGTGGGGGCATCGGACGGAAATCACGTGGGGCAGGGAAGCACTTTCGCATCTGCATAATATGTTCCACAACCCTGAAATGACCTCTCGTTTAATTGCTGAGAAGCGAAATAGTTCAACCCCAGAGATAGCGTTGGTTGTCGTACTGTGCTGAGCCCTGCAGTGGCTGGTTTGGTGGGTTGTTTGGCTGACAGACTATGTGATCGGACTGGTGTCTCGTTTACTGTGTAATTATGTTTGTGTAGAGAGATGCTTACCGGTCTCCTTGGTTGAACATTAATATATTTTCTCACTTATATTGTTAGCATTGTTAAATATACACTGTTTAAAATGTAGGGCTGTTCGTTTACTTCTGTTTAGATGCCTGGCGGTATATTACTTTCAGATCTACCTCAGAGAGACGGCCTTACGTATGCAGTGCACCTATATGTATATTGATATCGTAATTGTGTGGGAATCTTTGTTTTTTATTCAACGCAGCCCTTAGCATTACTCAAGAGATTTGGTAGTTGTCAGCCAGTGACTGACATCGTGAACATAAATCTACGCTGTTGTGGGGGCCATGACATTCATTACCTTAGACAGCCTGCCTTACCTTCAGATAATATTGTCGGCCTGTTACAATAAGCACAGTCGCTTCTTGAAACGAGCACTCATAGCTTAAGACCTGTTACATCCCTGTTGTCTTGGCCCATTGTTCTGTACTGAGCTGCACGAGTCAGTCAGTGAGAATGTAAATGTGTACATTCTTTTCACCTGTACTTCAACGGTGCTTGTGATGTTCCTAATACATAAAATATATTAACGTCAGACTCAGGTATTTGGAAGTGTGCTCGTGATGTGGTCAAACCTACTACAGAACAGAAGTAGCACAATACGGCCGAGATATGATACCCTGATTACATATTGTTCCATCCATAGAATGAGATATGATACCCTGATTACATATTGTTCCATCCATAGAATGAGATATGATACCCTGATTACATATTGTTCCATCCATAGAATGAGATATGAGTGAAATGATTTGTCTGAATGTGGTGGAATGTGCGCAAATCTGCATTTACCTGTTTGATTATTAGATTAATTATAACTTTGAGCCATCTATATGGCAATATTCCTGTATTTCGTAGCAAACTAAAGATATCGGTTTATGCTAGTGACAGTTAAACGTACGTAGACGAACATCCGACAGGTACTCGTCCCGTATCAAGTCTGAAACAAACCGTTTGTTTGCTTCAGGTTTATTTAAAGCAAACAGTACTCCACTCTCTTGAATATCTTCACGTAACTCCAAAATCATCATATTCTGAGACATCATCAATTATTGTACATATTTTACGAAACAGTTACAATGAAAGTACTGAATATTTTATTAACCCTTAATTTTCAAAAGCCTAAATGACATGACAATGTACAGCAGATGATGACACAGGGATGTAAGTTTTTACAAAGAGAATGATTATTCTAATTTACTGCCAGTGTTCAAACACAAACTGACGGGCGAAAAATAAATACACACATGTTTGATAGAGGCTGAAAATGGAACAAACAGGAAAAGATCTTAGTATGATAGTATGTTTGATACAGGTACAAGTTTAACGTGAACATTTAACGTGAACCGATGACTGATAGAGTCCAGTAATTATCACGCTTTGGTAGTTTGTATTATTTTTGGTAAAATCAAATTGTGAGATGTGTAAATTCTTTTGCCAAAAGGTTATGGTTATGGCTGCACTCATCCGACATTACCTGAAAGACCTGTGTACGTTAGATTATGTTTCTGTGAACACGCCGGCCTGCACATATGCATGTACAGTAACGTCACCACCTGACAAACAAACAGCTGTCAACATCGTTCACAAGTGTGGAAGCATGACTTTACCGATAACAAAAGAAGCAGGCAGTGTTTTCAATACACATAAAATATCAATTTCTGTTGGGCAACTCGTACTGACAACATTTTGTAATTGTGCAAAACCGGTAATACGGGTGAAACAATGACGGCATAAATTGTTACTCTCTCACAATTATTGTCACAAAGCGATGTATGGAAAAAAAGTAACTATGTGGCCGACACATATTCATCCTATCGTCTGTGTATCAGTAGGTTCCTTAAACACTTAGGCTTGGATTTTATTTTTACTGAGCATTGTACTTTTTCCTAATGATTGACTATTTGGCATCATTTGTTACACTGTTTGTTTAGAGGACCATATCAACGTGTTGCGACATCACGGCATTCTCGAAACAACTCATGATGACTTCAGATAACCCGTAATTCCAGGAAACTTGTATGTTCTGCCCCAACTGGTCCATTTTGAGGTTGGCTACATCCTCCCATCAGAATCATCCCCGGTAAATCTCGACCGTAGGACAGCTTCTGGACATTCATAATAATGTATATTATGTTCGATAAACCGTTGTAGCCAGACCGACTTCGAACTCTACGTCCATATTTATGCGTTATTTGCTCATGCTATCAACCAATAGTTTGTCTGGTCCAGAGTTTAGTTTGTAAAGACACCAGTGATATGACTGGTCAGCGGGGGCATATGCAGAATAATGTGATGATCCAGTCAAGCACGGTAGTATCATTATGACACCACAGACAAATTATATACATAACCTATTAAGTACAATTACACTTCAGCAAAGGCTTTGACAGCAGAGTTTGATAAAAGGGAGACAACTTTCTACCAATTGTCTGAAAGTCGGACCAGAATAGATCAACAACAATAAGACAACGCCCCATCACACGGGACTACTCTGCTAGGTTTCCTTCAGAATCTGGGGCGGTGGGGTAGCCCGGTGGTTAAAGCGTTCACTTGTCACGCCGAATACCTGGGTTCGATTCCCGACATGGGTACACTGTGTGAAGCCCTTTTCTCATGTCCCCCGACGCCATATTGCTGGAGTATTTCTAAAAGTGGCGTAAAACCCAGCTCACTTACTCAGTGACACCTTCAGAATTTCATCAAACACATCGGACCAGAACTGTAAAGCCTGCAGAATGTGTTCTGGCTCTGCTGAGCTTGTACAATGTGGTCTTGAATGGCATTTCTTGCAAACTTATAATGCAGTGATATTACTGCCGGTGTGGGCTTAATGTCATTGTGAACATATAATTCATTCTACAATTTATTGTTATATACCTTTGATAACACAAACATCACGAATATTGCAGGTACCACCATCAAACAGAATGAACATTTTCAGAAGCCAGGCATCTATTATGGAACAATCTCCCAAACAACATCTTAGGTCACCTGTGAACTCCACCAGTTCAAACGAGTGCTAAAACTCAGCTTTTGACAGTGCTTTGCCTGAGTGCCTCTGCTGAATTTGTTTGAACGGGCACTATATAAATACAAACTATATTTCTAGTCTGATACATATATAACATGATATAACATGGCGAGAAGATACACTGAACGATTGAGCATACTTTCGACCTTGTATCCCACGACCAGTTTGACCAATCCAGACATGCTTTGATGAATGACATGAGCACTTGCAACACACAAACAAGGATCTAACTGCTGACATTACAACCATTATGATTCACTAACTAGTCCACCCGGCCTCCCTGGTGAAGTAAATGAGAACTATATACATGTACACACGCCGACATGTGTTTCCTCTTCCTTGTGTTATTTGGCCTTGTCTTTCAGCACATGGACGTAAACACCTGACAACAGCAAATATCACTTTAGGTAAGTTACCGTGTGTCATGATCATGTAGGATTTGCAAGTAAATAACAAATGGTTTTCATATAAAAGTATATTCAAGATTAATGTGTACAACATTCCAAAGTATATTCCTCCGCGGATGTTATTTGCACGTATAAAGGAACTATATTGTGTAAAATGATTTCAAACATGTCTCGAAATACATGTCTCAAATTAACACAGGAAAACGGAACACTTTTCGTTTTATGTCTCATGAAAATAATATATTCAATCAAGGTTATGACTTACTTCATTAAATTTGTTATCTGTGGACAAGGTGTTGATCGAGACAAACTATATACCTTGTGTCACTGGTTCATTGTACTGTTTGTGGCCATCAGCTGGTGACGTTTCTGATGACACTGTGTGTAGTATGTCATCCTGCGTCGCTGAAACATGAACGTCATTCTCATAATGAGTAACTTATTTCGAACATTTCTTGTTGTTGTGTAACGCCAAATGCAACAATATTCCAGCTATATGACGGTGATCAGTAAAACAATCAAACTTGAATCACTCCAGTGATTAAAACTATGAGCATCGATCTACGCAACTGCGATACGGCGACATCTTACAATAAGCGAACCTTACCACCCGGACGCAGTTAATCGCCTCTTACCACATGCGTGGATTGTTGAAAAACAATTCTAAGCCAGATGCTCACGGGTAGCAGTAGTACCAGCTGCAGTGGATGTAGTCAAACTGTTTCGTATTTCGTAAGCCATATTTTCTATCAATACATCTTGTAGATAAATATTTTCTATCAATACACCTTGTAGATAAATATTATCTATCAATACAACTTGTAGATAAATATTTTCTATCAATACACCTTGTAGATAAATATTTTTTATCAATGCACCTTGTAGATAAATATTTTCCATCAATAGACCTTGTAGATAAATATTTTCTATCAATACACCTTGTAGATAAACTATTCTTTTTATCAATACGCCTTGTAGATAAATATTTCTATCAATACACCTTGTAGATAAATATTTTCCATCAATACACCTTGTAGATAAATATTTTCTATTAATACAACTTGTAGATAAATATTTTCTATCAATACAACTAGTAGATAAATATTTTCTATCAATATACCTTGTAGATAAATATTTTCTATCGATACAACTTGTAGATAAACATTTTCTATCAATATACCTTGTAGATAAATATTTTCTATCAATACACCTTGTAGATAAATATTTTCTATCAATACACCTTGTAGATAAATATTTTCTATCAATACAACTTGTAGATAAGTTTTTGTAATCAATACACCTTGTAGATAAATATTGTTTACTTATTGTATCATATTTGCAGTTTAAACACGGTTCAATCTAATGAAGAATCCAATGACTCATTCCATGACTCTGCATCTTAATGTCTTACCTCCGGACGTGTGACGTCTTCTTCTAACAAATACAGCGACGACTACAACGATGATTACTACAACTGCACAGGCGGACCCTGCAGCTATGTAAATAACAGTCCTGCTTCCCGAGCCTGAAACAGCAAGAGAATAATCATTCCTTGAGTAAGTCGGTGTCAATATGGCGTGCATAATGAAGCGTTCGACTCCACCCATGTCAAGGCAGCGTTTCCTCGAAGTGATCAGATAAGTTCAGATAATTTCCATAAAGTAATTGCTGGCTTGTGTCAAATAAACCTCTCCAACAGCGACGTCGCCTATTTCACCTGGATTTGGACCATGCTTGTCCTGAACAATCGTCGAATGAGCAATGAGTGCTATGTGGTGTGACCCTGCTGATTGGGTCGTGACTTGGATTGTCACCACTGGCCCAGAGTCCATTATTTCTGGTCACCATGACAGGTAGAATATCGCTGACTGTGACCGTTTTGCACATTTGGGTACAATTATACAGTGTTTTGCAGCTTACAAAATTCGCCATGTATGACTACATATCTTGCACTTTTTCCAAATAGGTATTTCTTACACATAAGTCGACACACCATGATGCGACACCAATAATGCTCAACCAGAGGCAACATCAAGGCATTCACCTATATCCTATGTTAAATATCATAAACAACACGATATGTATTCACTAGTTGATTAGAATTGTTCGTTTATGATCGCCACAAGTCAATCACACATTCCATGCTTTTTTGTATGTTACCGTTGTCTTTAGCATCGCTGTCTGTAAGTCTTGATAGATCAGCATGTCGTCCAGACTTCGCAGAAACTGAAACCGAAAATAAGGTTTAAAGCTACCAATTTCTATTCTTGTGTCACAATATTAGGAAAATACAAGAATAGCAACAACAACTTCCAACATTATGGACACACTCAGACATGAGGCCTTCGCAAACCACGGCTAATTGTGAAAGGGACAAGCAAACTAGAAGCTACAGGAAATAGTCTGCTTAGTTTGCAGACATTACACTTTACTAGAATATACGAGTAAGACTGATTGTAAGCAGAACATTGACTGTATGTCTGATGTCCATTTACTGATGACAACTAACAACTAATCTTCGGAGCGGGGCCACCTTTCAGACACAGGCTATTCATACCAATCATTCATTTAGCCCGAACGTTCATTCTATTCATTGAAATGGCACATGCCAGGCTACTACATACGTGCGTTCTTATCAACCAAAATAACATCAGACTTTTGTTCAGCAGTATCCGAACTGTTTATGTCCATGTAAAATGAGAACATGTAACAACAGGTTCATAAGCTGATCAACGTTGTATACGTGTTTATGGCATATCCTGTCAAACAACTACACACACATAGAATTCATACTCATAATAACGTGATAATAACTTCAGAAATAAAACTCATAAAACCTCATATTATTTTCTGAGATATGTTCCCTTCAAACACAAGACACTAGGGCCAATCCTATTGGCATACATATCAAATCTGATTCAACTATGAATCCCTTTTTATCCGGGCTGGCAATGCTGGAATACTAAAAACTTCTGCTTTTGGGTCATAAATCGTTGAGTGTTGACCTTTCATTTACAAAACATACTTCCATCTGATGTGAATGCCATTATCTACAGTCAGCACACACTGACTAAGAAATAGGCCTAACGTATATATTGTCCTGCTATGCCAAAGGCAGGTGTTAACGAAACACTATAATTTGTGTCATTAATGTGTCATATACGTGAATACCATCCACATGCCTTCCATAATTTAATCTGAAAGCTTTACTGAGCCCTTGAATGTTGTAATCCTAAACCAGAAAACTTTGTACAGGAGTCATATAAAGCGCATTGAAACGTTCGTACCAGAAAGGACTACATTTATGAAACGGTCTACAAAGATAGGAGCTGCTGAAACATTGGTCGACTTGAAGGGAAACGGTTCTACTGGAATGTCAAAACCAGCCCTCTTGGCATCAAGTATTGTGGGCATTTCCGTTACACTGATTCTTGCAGTACACACACATCTAACTCACGTAATGTTATATGGTTGCTTGTCTCGCTCTTCACTGTATCCTTACACCACCACTCTGTCCCCTTGTCAATAGTAGCGTTGATCCTGAGAGTCACATTGTGTTGGAGGACCCCACAGTTCACACTGAGACGCCCTGACAGGTATTTGCTGTAGACATACGGGTTAGATATAGCAGCTTTACTGAGGGTGGACAGTGACTCGGTTGTACGGAAGATGACGTTTTCATCCCTGTACCAATATCTATTGGCCCTGCCCCAGCTGCTGCTGCAGATCAGAGTGATGACGTGTCTGTCTGTTGTTGTTGCTGCTGCTGCCGGAACACTCGTCAGTACCAGAGAACCTACAAACGATATCAGAAACACTTGTGAAACACATCTAGCATAAAATATCAGGGTTAGAATGTGTCTTCAGCAACTCATGTTTGTCGCAAGAGGCGACACACAGGGAGGGGTGGTCAAGCTCGCTGACTTGATCGACGCATCGTCATCATTGACTTGATTAGTTACAGACATCTACTACAACGCTGTAACATTGATGAGAACAACAAACAAACATAGACAAACTATACCTATATACAAGCCTCCATGAGTTTTAATCCACTGACGAGCGGGTTGGTAACCCAGTGGTTAAAGCTCCTCCCGCCATGCCGAAGATCCGGGTTCTAGTACATGCATGGCTACAATCTGTGAACCCCGGATATTGACGAACTATTGATAAAAAGAGTCAAGTATAAATAGTTAAACTGCACGATGAAGACACGTGTTCGAGCGGCATAACATATATGAAGCCTGGTGTCATGATGAGATGATGTTATGGCCTCCAATGATCTTGAACGAAACTAGGACTAGGATGGGACATTTCACAGGAAACGTTTCTGGGTCGGTAGTGTGTAATACCGCCACGATTTGCTGACGAGTCTTTCGATGGCGTTCACAGTTTGAGGTTCATGTAGATGTCGCTAGACACGACAGCGCCTACCACGAAAGGGCAAATTAACTCGGGGCTGAAGCATGACACGGGACCAGCAAAGATTATCTCCGTTACGACGTTGTGTACACCACTGATGAATGTGACGGTTTGTAGAGATCGTCAAGCCTTGAGGTGAGCTCGTCTTCCTGGTCTTCAGTAACCCATGCTTGTGGTAAGAGGCGACTTACAGGATCGGGTGGTCAGGCTCGCTGACCTGGTTGACACATGTCATCGTATCCCAATTACTGATATCGATGTTCATACTATTGATCACTGGATTGTCTGGTCCAGATTATTTACAGACCGCAGCCATATAGCTGGAGTATTGCGGAGTGCGGCGTTAAACAACAACCAGACCTAACCAAACCAAACTTTTGAGACGCTATACGTGTCTTTTCTCCTTGTGAAACATAGGTCAAAACGACCGTCTGTCTTAACGCAAGCAACAGTTTTTAACGTTTACTTTGCAGCAAGTGTTAGTCTCGTGACCCCATGCCTCCCCATAAACTGTATGCATTTGGTAAATGCCAATTAAAAACATATTTACTCGCTCAATGATTCAGACAAAGTGATTGCATAAGGATGGATGCTGGCTAATTGCATAATAGCTCAAAGGGTGTGCTCAGACAACACACTATGTCGAAGTGGTTAAAGCAGTTTGAGTCGGCGAGGCGGAGAATCTCGACAAGTTGTCAGCTCATGAGGACACGTCGGTATTATATATATGCACACATGGAAAAAATATCGCGACACCCTATATTTTTCCATATGTTCAATAAGTTAACGTTACCCACAACAAAGGAACTTATCCAAACCTCAACTAACCATACTATGTGTACCCTCCTTAATTGACTCCCATTGTACAGAGAAGAAAACTGCCATTACACTCTTCTTCATTGCATGTGTATTGCGTTCCATTCCTGATGGAGGGCTTGTTCTAATAGATCACCACGAGTTGTACTTGATGACCTCTCTGTTGTATTCTGTGACCAAACATGCTTTATGTTAATGGGACCTGGAATCCTGGCGGGCCACGATAGAGTCGCTACCACCTCTTGACGCTTAGAAATCTCTAACGGCACATGCATGACTTAGCATTGCCGTCCATAAAGACTTGCCTTCAGTTCAAAGGATGGCCATCGAAATGTGGTACAACAACTCTGTCTAGGATGCCAGTGATGTACTGCTGACCATTCAGATCTTCCTGATCCTCACAAGGTTAAGTTTACAGTCCGAGCCAACAATGAACTAAGCCAAACTTTACCTGCTCCAAGATATGTCGTTGTATATATGCCAAACACGAGCTTGGCCATCAAACATGAACAAATGAAGTCGGCTCTCGTCGGACCAACGTCAAATTCCAGAGTCGTTGAGCTTGACAACTGGCTATCCCTGCTGCTGTTCTGTGGATGACAGCATACGTCTGGTAGGTCGTATAGTTCTACACACGGCCGATTTTAGCCGATTTCGGACCGTCCAGAGAGCAAACGACGATGTGGAAGCCACACTGATGTTAATACGTCACGTGGCATGAATGAATGAAGTCTTGTGATTCTGAGACTGACTTTATCCTCCCTGGATCCTGAACGCTGACGGTCCTCAACTCTTTCCTTTGTTTTTTTGCTGATGTTTTCTGGCCAATCGGCTGATAGTCTGGCCCACAACCAGAATCTCTTGCCAAGACCTTAATGATAGCATTCCGGCTACCAGTAACTTGAGCAGTTGTCACACATTTGCTTATCAACAACGAAATCAATTGATTTTCCAAGTCGATCTGTAACCTTTACTGAAACTTGATATTTGCCTAATGATGGGGACACTATTGCACGTGATACCTGCAATTGGTCATTACAGATGTCAGTGTATGCTTCGCCCGACTGGTCAAACTCATCATACAGATCAACATAATGATGATTATGAATATACATGTCTGAATGGAGGTTGAAAATCAGATGTATTGCGATACATTTCTTCATGTGTATATGAAAGAAAAGGGAAATCAATTTCGCTGTTCCATGTTTTACATTTTTCTGCACGGGATCAAAAGGATAAAATATTGCTGTACGTAAATATGGAGATAAAATATTATGATTTGTATGTACATGTGCTGTTTAAGTACTTTGGAACATCAGACGCTTCTAAGTACTATTGCATGCTTAACCGTGGTGGGGTTCAACTAAATACGCACAGCGAATTAATTCAGGGGCAGTTAGATAAAATAATTATGTTTTGGGATCAACTTCAGAATTAAAGTTGTGTATTATATCAGCGGATACTACTACTGCCCTGCAAACAGTTTATACATTCGGTACAAGTGAATATTAGATGTTGATTTCCTTTCTTTTAAAAGTGTAACATGATGTCATTGATACGGAATTTCTTGAATGCAGTTAAGCAGAGAAGCACGTTATGCTTTGTGTCCCTACCTGATGACTTGTGGCTGTTATGATATGATGTGATATGATATGATATGATATGACGCAAATAAGCACGAAGGAAGTATTAATGAAGGAGAAAACAACTTACCCTCAGATTGTATGAATTGAATGATTAACACCCACAGCGCACAAATCAATAGTCTCATCTCCCTCGTATTTACAACCACCATTTGAATGTGTCAAAAATCGTTTGTTCTAAAACATCAATCCTCGTGTCCACATTACGTGTGACATTCACCTAGCTATCCAGACACAATGAATTCCAACATAATGACAACACGCGTCTCCCCCTAGCGTCTCATCACCCAATGAACTGCCAGATGTCTGTACACGTAACAGGAAGATGCGCATATTTTCTTCAAATTCCCGTGTCCCCACATCCAACCAGGTCTTTGTAGATCCTGCCTGTGTGTACACATCTCAGTATTGCTATATATTGACGGGGCACAGCAACTGATTTGATGAGATTGTTTGTACAGAAAGAAGGTTTTGTGTTTTAATCTAGTCATTTCTTTTTACACTAAAGCAGCGACTATTATTTTGTAATCTATCAGTTCATTTGAAGCAACGGCGTATAACGCTACACTCGTTATACTTTTACAAAGCAGTTCGAATAAAAAAACAATCTACATGTCAAATAACAAAATGAATTCGCACATCACATTGTCATGCCATATCTTTGCACATGATTAATAAGATCTTATAGTTAAGACACAGCTTACGTTTTTTGCTCAACTAAATATCGTTCCATCAATAACGTCTTAAATTGAAACTAATTATAAGCATATTTTTAAATAAATGTAATTGTGATACTAATCTATTCTAAATAGTTCAAATGTATCCTGTGAATAATCTGGGCCATCACACATTGCACCCATATAGTGAATCGAACTCGAGTCTTCGGCGTGGAGAGCAAACGCTTTAACCACAAGGCTACCCCACCCCACTTATACAGATGGAACACAAAGAGTCGCCTTCATAACGGGCATAGACTGACCTTTAAATCCCGACATATAATCTATAGAAGTGACCACTACAAAATGTCCATTTCAACACAAGGCACAATTCCAGCCGTCTATCAGAAGGGTTTACACCTGAAACAACAGCGGGAACGTATTAATTATTAACATATTTCAAGGCTTTTCATTCCTTCCTGTTCTATTTTGTGAACTGAAATTGACTGGAAATGTCCGCATAACCACTCATTAATATAAACGTGAAACAAACATTGGCCATAGTTTTGAAGTCTATGCCTAACCTGACCCAATACGCTCCTCAGCGATTGAAAGACAAAGTATAGTGAAAATATCTCCGCGATATATACGGTTTTCAAATTTTAAATCGAGTCAATAAAATTACAACGGTAATTTATTTATGGTCTATTTACTCGACACAATAACTACGCTTGCTATTCTTGAACACTTAAAATTGTGTCAAAGGTTAAGCAATCCGAAGAAAGTCTGTACATTCAAATATTCTAGACGAAATCAGTTTCACAACGTTTCAGGAATGTTGTACACGAACAACAGTAGATTATAGTACAGAAAATAGTCCTCGTTACACAGTTATTAAAAGTTATATAATGCGAATGTAGTCTTGTATTTTGACATCGATGAATCTTCAGGATGATTTTGTGAGGCTTTGTCGTAACTGGGCAATGTTATGTGTTTAGCTTCATGGACCACAGAAAAAAAATCTAATTCATCAAAG